GAGCCGCCTCTGGGTCCAGCGGATGGTGCTCCTCTCATTGCAGCTGATCTCGATGACCATGCTTCCTGTCAGGAGAGACGTGAGGGCGGGAGAGGGAAGGGGGAGGGGGAAGGGCGTATGTAATCAGGATTTATTAAACAAATGAAGAGTGACTTGAGAGAGGAGACTCTTTTTCCAGATCATGGGGAAAATGGACAGATGTGGTGGGGCTGGTGACCAAGCTGGGAGGCTATGGACGATGAGGTGGACCCAGAGGCTTGTGCTCAGTTTTCTTGGGAACCAGAGCGTCCGCGGAAGCATCGGGTTCATGGTCCACGGGTCCGTGTTGGGAAGCCGTGCAGGTGATGGGGGAGCGGAACGCAGGGAACCTGTCACACGTGGACCCAATGAGGGATGTTGAGGGATGTGACTAATGTACGCACCTTCACTCGTGTATGACGCTCTGTGCCACAATGAACCTTACCCCCTAGAACTTATAATAAAATAATGTAAAATAAAATAAACTGTGTTGCCCTAGCCCAATGCTAATGAGAGGAAATCATCCATTGGCTGCTCCTGCTGCCCAGCACTGGGGATGAAACCCGCAACTGGGGTGGATGGAACTGGGAGCTCCTGGCTTGTAGGATGCTCCATCCCTGACACACGGGCTGGGCCGTGCAGTCCTTTTGCTCTAAGCACCGGCCCCACAGTGACCTGGGGCCTCCCTGGCTCCCAGCTCCCAGCTGGGTCCTGGCTGCTGGTGATGCTGAGGAGTGTCTGACCCTGCACAGCGTCCTGAGGAGGAGGAGGAGGAGAAGGGCAGAGGTCACCAACCCTTTCCACCCCCCCCCCCCCCCTTCAGAGCAGTGATGAAGAATAGGGACCTAACCATGGCAGAAAATGAGATAGCATCCGCCCCCGAGAGGGCGGCTGGGTGTCAGGGCAGGGAGAGCTGCAGTGGGGCCTGTGGGCTGTGCTGCTCCCCGAGCTCAGACGCTCCTGCTGGCCCAGAGCCCAGGTCCCCGTGAGGATCTGTCTCTGTTCCCTGTGGCTGCAGAAGGACTTCTTCCCACCACTCCCCGACCTGCCAGCCCCAGCCCAGCCACGGGCACACACGTAGGGCCCAGTCCAGCCACAAGCACACACGTAGGGAAATTTCCTGGTTTCCTCTCCAAACCCAGCAGAGGCCCCACCCCACAGCAGGCAGTTTCATTTCTACTGGAGTCCAGCTCTCCAACGGGAAAACTGCTGTTCCAGGCGACTCCCTACAGCAAGTGCGTGGCATTGGTGGTGGCCCAGGTACTGGGGAGGGTCTGGGCGGGGCTCCCAGGGAGGGTCCTGACACCCAGTGTGTGGACAGGAAGGAGGATATGGTGGGGGTCCGGGCGGCAGGGAGGGGTGGGTTTCAGACATCAGGGCCTCTGGACTCTGTCCCTCCAGGCCCGGCTGGCCGCCCTTCACTGAGGCTGCTCTCCTTAAACCAAACTCCAAGCTGGTCCAACCTCAGGAGATCTGGGGGGTGAAGGGAGGGGAGTGGAGTCTGGGACAGGCCCCTGGGCCCCCAGAGGGCAGGTCCTGTCCTGGGGATATAGCCCAGCCACAGAGGACCCCAGTGTGTGCCCGAGATTCACCCGCCCAGGATGGGGCTCTGAGCAGAGACGTTGCCTCAGAGGCTGCCCTGGTGACAGAGGAAGAGGCCATCCGGGAGTCTCAGGGATTGGGCTGTTTCTCCACCATTGTCAGGTCCAAGCAAAGTCGCTCTGCAACCTGCCCGCCTCCCTCTGCTCCCAGGAGGGCAGGCCTGGCTCTGAGGAGCTGCAGCCCGGGCCAGGATCCCAGGGTCCCTCCTTGGCTCTCAGATTCCTGGGTCCTCCCTGGAGGAACTTGGGGTGTTGTCTTCCCATTTGCTCACCCTCCCCTCCCTTAAGGGTTCCAATAACCTGGAACTTCTCCTGGGAGACAGTCCTGGCTGGAGGGGAGAGGTCACCTGACTGGTCCTCAAGGACCCGCCCTTCTCTGCCCAGATCTGGTTTTTACCTTCTTATTTTTTATATTTTTATTTTTTCAAATCAATAATACTTTTACATTTTTAAGGATACATTTCAAATAAAAGACATATCCAATTAATAGATTAACTAACATCATCTAGACTTCATACAGGGCATGCACAGATCAACATTTCAGTGTTACAACAACTCTATACATTTAGATTTAAGTGTTTATCATTTGATTTAGTGGACTTCCAAACTCTTTTAAAAGTTTCTAGCCATGTCTGCTATGGGCTTGGATGCAGCTCCAGGCCTGCCTGCTGCTGCTGCTCTGGGTCTTGCTGCTGCTGTTCTGGGCCTGGCTGCACCACAGCAACACACTAGGGCCCAGCCACAGGCACACACAATCATTTCCTGTTTTTCTCTCCAAAGCCAGCTGAGGCCCCACCCGAACGGAAAATGTCATTTTTGATTGACTACTGTCTGGGAAGCGGCTGCAAGTGTGTGGCATTGGTGGTGGCCTGGGTCCTGGGGAAGGTCCAGGCGTGTCTCCCAGGGAAGGTCATGACACCCAGTGTGTGGACAGGAAGGAGGGTGCAGGGGAGCCAGGGCAGCAGGGAGGGGTGGGTTTCAGACACCAGGGCCTCTGGACTCCGTCCCTCCAGGCCCCTGCCCGGCCGCCCTTCCCTGAGACCGCTTTCCTTAAACCAAACTGCAAGCTGGTCCAACCTCAGGAGATCTGGGGGGTGAAGGGAAGGGAGTGGAGGCTGCGACAAGCCCCCAGGGCCTCCGGAGGGCAGGTCCTTTCCTGGGGACACAGCCCAGCCACAGAGGACCCCAGTGTGTGCCCGGAAGTCACCCGCCCAGGATGGAGCTCTGAGCAGAGACTGTGGCTGGGAGGCTGCCCTGGTGACAGAGGAAGAGGCCATCCGGGAGTCTCAGGGATTTGGCTGTTTTCCCACCATTGTCAGGTCCAAGCAAGGTCGCTCTGCAACCTGCCCGCCTCCCTCTGCTCCCAGGAGGGCAGGTCTGGCTCTGAGGAGCTGCAGCCCGGGCCAGGATCCCAGGGTCCCTCTTTGGCTCTCTGGTTCCTGGGTCCTCCCTGGAGGAACATGGGGTGCTGTCTTCCCATTTGCCCACCCTCCCCTCCCTTCAGGGTTCCAATTGCCTGCAACTTCTCCTGGGAGACAGTCCTGGCTGGATGTTAGAGGTCACCTGACTGGTCCTCCAGGACCCGTCCTTCTCTGCTCAGAGCTGGTCTTTAACTTTTAAAAAATATATATTTTTATTGATTTCAGAGAGGGAGGGAGAGAGAGAGAAAGAGAGAGAGAGAGAGAGAGATAGAGAGAGAGAGAGAGAGAGAGAGAGAAACCTCTGTTTCATAAAACAACCCATTGAAACCTTTAAAGTATTTTGGTGAGTTTATTTGAACAAAACTGTCGACTTATGACGGGAAGCAGAACCTCAATGAATTGAGATAACGCTCCAGAGAATGGAGGGTTACATCTATTTTCATACATTGCCATCAAAGAAATGGGACTTAGGGAGTTACATGAAATCCATTGGTGATAGATAAGAGAGGTGTGAGAAAGCTAAGCAGGAAACCTCTGGGATAGGGTGAAAAGTGAAATGATGATGGATGCAGGATACCTTAAGGTAATTAACAGTTGGCAATTAACTTGATAACCCTAACAATGAGGGAATGTCCTAGTGCCATTTTACCCCTGAGGGGTCAGGGGTAAAAAGGAAGTTAAAAGTTACCAGACATCTCCAGATAGGTTATCTTAGAGGAGAAAAGGCAAATGGGCTCATTAAATATCTAAGTTGATCTCTGTCAGAAAAAGTATCGGCCTAGGACATGACTACATACTATATCCTGTTTGTAGTTAACTATTTAATTTTCAAACCATCTTTGGTGGTCATTTTAGGTCTCTGAGTTTGCTAGACTGCCATGTAGGCCTCCCCAGAGCTGGCCAGGTTAGCATGTGGCTCCTTTTGTCCACACCTAGATGGTCCATAGGTTGACACTCAACCTCTGAGCCAGCAATCCTATAGCACCTCTCAGGTCAGGGAGGGCCTGGAGGTCAGCCTTGTTTACTTCCGGGTCATCAAAGTTGGGTTTCACTGGAGGAGATTTTTCCATTGTTTCTTACAGAGAACAGAAGGGATGGCAGCTGGAGAGGGAGAGAGAGAGAGACACCTCGGGAATTGAACCCAGACAAGTCAGTGAGCAGTGGACGCTCTGCTACTGAGCGCACTGGCCAGCCTTCATGATCTGTGGGGCGCAGTCGGGGAGGAAGGCTGGGGTGGGAGGCTCAGCGGGTCCACAGTCACTGTTCCAATGGAATCTCCCGCATCCACCCGGTTCCTTAAACTGCAAAGAAAAGATCCTGGAACCAGTTATTCCTGATTATTCCTCATGTTCCTCTGGGTGGAGAGAGATTCTCACAGGCCCTGACTGAGTCCTGGGGGGCTTCCTTCTCCCTCTCAGCCTCCCTTTGTCTGGGGGTCCAACACCACCTTCCCACATGACGGATGGTCTATATTGGGGCTTCACGCAGCGCCTCACCCCTGGCCATGAAGCAATTGAAATATAATCAGTCCTATCAGGTGTGGCTCGGTGGATAGAGAATTGGCCTGTGGACTGAAGGATCCTGGGTTTGACTGCGGTCAAGGTCAGGTACCTGGGTTGCAGGTTATACCCTGGCCCTGGTCAGAGTGCATGTGGGAGGCAATCAATGGATGTTTCTCTCTTTCCCCTCCCCACCACTCTCTCTACAAATCAATGGAAGAACACCCTCAGGTGAGGATAGTCCTGAAAGTTAAATTCTATTTCATTGTAGTCAATGGAGTTGGGGTCCTACCCTGTTCCACAGCACATCTGCTCTCTGCATCGTCTACATTGCAGATCTTTCTTCCTCCAGATAATCCTCAAGGCCCGTGGGGACAGGGCAGCCCGGTGCCCACAGGAAGGGTGCTTGCTCTGTGCTGTGAGGAGCCTCTGGGTCCGGCATTGCAGGACTCGGCAGAGGCATGGCGTCGGCCACCACCAGCAAGAAGATGCGTGAGGAGGCCACCTGCTCCATCTGCCTGCAGCTGATGGCCGAGCCCGTGGTCATCAGCTGCGGCCACAGCTACTGCCAGGCCTGCCTTCTGAGCTTCATGGGCCCGGCCTCATCCCCCCGGAGCCAGCAGGACCTGGAGACCTTCTCCTGCCCCCAGTGCCGGGCTCCCTTCCAGAGAGGCAGCCTGCGGCCCAGCAAGCAGCTGGGCAGCCTTATTGCCGCCATCAGGGAGCTGGAGCAGGAGCTGTTATGCCAGGAGCACGGGGAGCGGCTGCACCTCTTCTGTGAGGACGAGGGCCAGCTCATCTGCTGGCGCTGTGAGCGCGACCCGAGGCACAAGGGCCATGCCACCTCGCTCGTGGAGCACGCGGGCCCCGGCTACAGGGTGAGGTCCCCCTCGTGTGCCCGAGACCCCATCATCCAGCCCAGTGCCCCCTCGTGTGCCCGAGACACATATCCAACCCAATGCCCCATCATGCTCCACTACCCCTTTCATCTGGCCCAGTGCCCCCAAGTACAACCTGAGACCCCATCATCCAGCCGGAGGCCCAAGGTTGGGACCCTGAATTCTAGCTTTCCTTGTGTGTTCTTCTAGATGAGGTGGGCGGTGGAGGGGGTCGTGGGGCTGGATGGGGGTGGAGGGTTGGGGTAGAAAGTGGCGGGAAGGTTTAGGCTGGAGCCTCCCTGAATCTAGTAGGGCTTCCAGGATGGTCAGACTCATCCAGGACCCCACTGTGCCATGAAGTGGTTCTTGCTCTAGAGCGCCATGCAATCAAACACAGATATGCATGGTTATGTGTTTTCTTTTGTTTTGATAAAACAAAAAATATAAAATATAAAAATATCACCTGAGGATATTTTTCTATTCATTTTTAGATAGAGTGCAAGGGATGGGGAGAGAGAGCAAAGCATTGATCTGAGAGAGACATGGATTGGTTGCCTCCTGGACATGCGGTGACCAGGGCCAGGAATGGCAGCCGAGGTACTTGCCCTTGACCAGAATTCAACCCTGGACTCTTCAGTCCTTGGGCTGAGGCTCTATCCACTGAGCCAAACCAGCCAGGGCCGCTCCTGCTTGTTTTATGTCCTCATAGGTGCCTGTAATGAGACAGAGCCATGTGCGTGGGTGCGTGGGAGAGTAAAGAACAGTGACCAAGCCCACCTCGTGGGCAGCCTGACGTCCAGTAGGGAAGACTCACCAGTGAAAGGATGGCCTGGCTCCCCTGGCCTGGGTGATGGGAAGGGGAACCCTGGGGTGGGGATGCTCTTGGGAGCCCTCCCACAAGTGAGTCCTGAGGAGTTTACACACTAAGCATGTGGCCCTGCCAGCGTGGCTCAGTGGTTGAGCATCCAGCTAGGAACCCAGAGGTCATGGTGGAATTATTGGTCAGGGCACAGGCCTAGATTTCAGGCTCCATCCCATATGTAAGGTGTGCAGGAGGCAAGTGATCCATGATTATCTCTCATCATGCATGTTTTGGTCTCTTTCTTCCTTTCTGAAAGCAATAAAATATATACATGTTTATAAACAAAATTAACGGCATGTAGGAGTGTGAGCATAGAGAGGGCTCTCCATGTGAGAGGACCCCATAGTAAACACTCAGCCAGAGGGCGGGGTGAGTAGAGAAAGGCAGGAGTCCCTGAGCCTTCCAATCAGCTCAGTCTAGGTGCCCACAGGGTGTCCTGACTATTAGCCCAGAGGAGGACCAGGTGACATTGGACAGAGAGCCCTGGGCACCGACAGTCAGGTCATTCCCGTGAGAGGGAGCAGCAAGGTGTGGGTCAGCAAGAGTCACTCCATGTCTCCTTCCAGGAGAAGCTCCAGGAAACGGTGAAGAAACTGAGGCAACTGGAAGTGGAATGCGCCAGCCAGAAAGCGTTCACGGCCAAGCAGATAGCCGAGTGGAATGTGAGAATGGGGGCTTCTCGCCGGGGCCGCTGGAGGGCACTCCTGGGCTCAGGTGCAATCCCCACCCAGTGGGGCATGTGCAGGAGGCAACAGTGGACGTCTCTCCTACATTGATGTTCCTCTCGCTCTCTCTCTTTCCCCCTCTCCCTCCCGTCCACTCTCCTCTCTCTAACAGTCACAGGAAAGAACAACCTCGGGTGAGGACTAATGACAGCAACACCGAAAAGAGACAGGTTTCTTGGTGTCAAGCTCTTGTCTGTCCTGGCTTAGGTGTAGGGTCTGACCGGGCAAAGCACAGTCACGGTGTCACTGAACCAGAGGAGGCAGGTGGAACCCCGAGAAGAAGCCGTTGTCCTTTGTTGTCTGCATGGATGAGAAACTCCTGTCCTGCCCCTCAGCCTTCCAGCAGGAAATGGCCAGGAGGGCAGCCTGTCAGTGAAGCAGAATCACATGCGTGTTTACCAAGAGTAATCCCCCACTGGTTTTTTTACGTTCTTTCTTTTTATTTTATTTTATGTTTGTATTTTTTTCAGAGAGGAAGGGAGAGATAGAAACACCCAAGTGGAGAGAGGATCATGGATGGGTTGCCTCCTACACGCTCCCTACTGGGAATGGAGCCTGCAAACTGGGCATGTGTCCTGACCAGGAATCCCACTGTGACCTTCTGGTTCATAGCTGGATGCTCTACTCCTGCTGCCCAGCCTGAGCATCCTCTCTTGACTCTAGGAGAAGATAGAGGCTCGGAGACAGAATATCCATGAGGACTTCCAGAAACTGCACAGCTTCCTGAGGAAGGAGGAGAGCGTATACCTGAGGAGACTGGAGAGCGAGAAAGAGCACACACTGCGGAGACTGAGAGAACGTGAGGCCAAACTGGGGCAGCAGAGCCGGGAGCTGGAGAGCCACATCCTGGAGCTGGAGGAACGATGCCAGGGCTCTGCCCAGAATATGTTGCAGGTGAGGCTGTGCCCTGGGAGAATGCCAAGGTGGTGGGTCCTGAGCTGCTCCGGGGGGAGGGACGTAGGGAGCGTGGGAACAGGCAGGACTATCTTTCTTGCTCAGCAGAAGCACATCAGTGTGTGGGATTTAAAGGCATGTAGCTCTTATTTTTATTTAGTTATTTTGTTAATCCTCACTCAAGGGTATTGTTCCTTTAGTTTTAGAGAGAGTGGGAGGGAGAGGGAGAGACAGAGAGAGAAACATCAATGTGAGAGGGACACATTGGTTGGTTGCCTCTCCCAGGTGCCCCAGTCCTGGGCTGGCGATCAAGTCTGCAACCAAGGCATGTGCCCTTGACCTGAATTGAACCTGGGACCTTGCAGTCCATAAGCCGACACTCTATCCACTGAGGCAAACCAGCTAGGGCATAAAGGCATATTTCTTTTATTTTTATTTGTTGTCATTTAAAAAATATTTTTATGAATTGTGAGAGAAAAGGAGAGAGAGAGAGAGATGGAAACATTAATGATGAGAGAGAATCATTGATCAAGCCTGCAACTGGACATGTGTCCTGACAGGAAATCAAACCCTGAATTCCTGGGTCATAGGTTGATGCTCAACCACGAGCTATACCAGCTGGGCTAATCCTATTCTTTTAGAATATTGAACAGACTAATACCTACAAGGGCTCTCTCTATAAATCAGAAATTTTTGACTTGGCACATATATCCAGTGTGGCTCAGTCGATAGAGAATCAGCCTGATGACCGAATGGTTCTGGAATTGATTCTGGTCAAAGGCATGTACCTGGGTTGCAGGCTCCTCCCGGTCCCCGGCCATGGTCAGGGCTCCTGTAGGAGGCAACCAACTGATGTGCTTCTCTTGGGTGAGGGTCAAGAAGAATAAAACCCCCTGCTGGTAGAGGGTGGGTTCCTCCGCTGAACAGTCTCCCGGGATGGCTTCCGCTCCCACGTGCCTGGGTCCCAGAGCACACAATCCTGATTGATGGTCAGGTGATGGTGGGGACGAGGTGAGGCCACTGCGTGAGTGATGGGTGAGCCTGTCCTGCTGGGCCCTCCTTCCAGCCTCAGGAAGGTGAAACTCCTTTCTCACTCCCTCTTCCCTTGTGCTCTTCCCTGGTCCCACAGACTCCCCAACACCTCAGCAAGGAGGGTGCCTGGCTCACAGGCTGAGCTGTGTCCTGCCCGGCTGACCGTCCCAAAGGCCTGAATGGGGATCGTTGCACGGGGTGTCAATCAGTTACCCAGAAACCCCTGGTGGGCTGGGCCGTCTGTAGCTGTGTCCAATCACGAAGGCAGATTGAGGTCTATGAGGCGTTCGCTGAGAAGGCCAGCCCACCAAGCAGACAGGGTGCTTACAAGCATCAAGTGCTGTCTCCCAGCAGGTGCAGGGACAGGAGTGTAAAGGGGGAGGGGCGGGGTGCTGTGTGCAGGCCTGGGGGTCTCAGCCGCCCGCTAAGTCCTTAGTCCCCAGACAATGAGATGGTGCTGATCAGATGGCGTTTTGGCTCCTGGTGACCCTGAGTATGGCTTCTGCTCACTGGACTCACTGCTGAGTCACCTCCCCAATCACATGGCACAGGGCTTGGAAAGGAAACGTAAGAAAAACTTAACCACTGTTCCCATGTGAGAACCTTACCCCTGATCCCGTAAGGGTAATGTCCTCAGATGGGAACAGGAGGAGAACTTGCCAGAGTCGCTCAGGTGCTCTACCGACCGGGTTATAAGGCCCATCACACCCGCACCCAAGGCCGGGCTGCCCTGTGCCCCTGGGAGGAGCAGGGACCCATGAGCATGCTGCTCCCTCACTCACCTGTGCCTTTGCTTCCCGCAGGACGTGAAGGGCGCCCTGAGCAGGTGAGTGTGAAGCCAGGGCGAGGGGGAGTGGGGTGCGGAGCTGCGGGGTGCCCGCTGAGCAGCTCTGGCCTCTGCCCCCCCAGGAGCCAGGCTGTGCGGCTGGAGACCTCGGAGGCCCTCTCCCTTGATGTTCACACCAAGTGCAAGTTCCCAGAGCTCTACTTTAACCCGATTGAACGGTTGAGAGGCCATCAAGGTGCGTGAGGGCCTCTGACCAAGTGCCCAGGGGACCGAGCTCAGGGCAGCCTCTGCTGCCCAGGTCGAGGGGACCAATGGGAGGGTTTCTGTTTTATGGTCATAACCCTGAGCTCCCATTCTGGTTTGAAACAAGGCTCAGAGTCCACAGCACAGGCTGGTCTTCTCTAAAATAAATGGTTTTGGGAGGGTGCCCCTCTCCAGCCCTGAGCTCATAGCCAACCAGGGGCCCGCAGGGTGGAGTGTGCACGGACTCCGGGAGCCTTTTGCGTGCCCACAGGGGAAAGGTGACAGGAGGGGTGCTCAGCTGCCTCTTCCCCACCCTCCAAGGGGACATTCTTAGAACAAATGTGCCCCCAGGACCACATCCCCAGCAGAACCGGGAGTCTGAGTCCTCCGTGGCTAAACGCCAGGTGGTTGAGGTTCCCCTGTGAATGCCCACGCTGTGTCCCAGCACCTTGAATTC